TAACCTCAAGAGAAATAGTGACAGGATGTTGATCACTTTGCTATGACAACAAATAATCTTTGCAACTGTCTGTTTTACATGTAAGTTTAATTGGACTAGCTCCCCCTCGGAATAAATTACAGTTATAAAAGTTGCAGAATATATAGAGGACTGCTCTCACTATTTTGTGACGTCCTATACATTGTGCTAGTTAGAGGTAAATCCAAAAAAGGATTCTTATAAACAAGGAAGGTGAATTGGGTTGTCACATTATCAAGCATCATCATCTTTGCTTTTAATGTATTTTGACTTCACTAAAATTTCAATTGTGAGTCTATTGAATTTATTATTTGGGAGAAATTACTTATCTACTACTATGCCATTGCATTATTATATAATTTATTGATTATTTCTTCTAAATTTTTACTAGCAATGATACATAATAATAATCTCTTAACATTAGATACAAAACAGAAAGATAAATATAATTCAAAAGCCACAATACAATGATTATATAAATTATTAAATCAAAAAAATGGCTCAAACATATTGTATGTTGCGCTCCATTACAATTTTGTACACGCGAGTATAATATTATTAATCTTAAAGAGGGTGAGAATGAATTGAATTTAGGAGAGAAAATGAAAATAAATGTAGCGGGGAAAGGAATATAATACAAGTTGTTTTGTTGTACATCAACAAATTCAAATTATATTTTGGCATGTATTAGATAATACTACTCAACAATAATAGTCGCTCTTTCACAAAAAATTAGTGCACAAATTTGAACTAAAAATGGTACGAATTCCAAGATTCAATGTAGATTATTAGTTTTTAGCACAGAAGAAGTACATGTCATTATTATTGGTAGAGAGAATATATATATATATATATATACACATATAAGACGAAAATAAAATAGGAGAAATAGCATCTTAGAAAAAAGAGATAAAATGGATTTAATAGACTGAGAAATTAGAAAATGACAACAATACTTGTCTTTAATTTCACAATCTAAACATCATAGTATAGAATGACCAGTTAAAAGAAACAAACACTCCCGGTAACACCTCTTCTATTTTTTCGATTTAGTAGATGTATGCAAAACTTTTAGCAAAAAATTATGTATTTTACTCATTTTCGCACCTATTTGCAACAAATTGTAATAATTTTAGTATGTAGTTACTTTTGTAAATCTCATACTTCCTTTGCAATATTCTTGACTCTGTCATATTTATTTTTTGAGACACCAATGTGGTAAGTGATGTGGAGGAGGTGGTTACGTTGACAGATTGATGTTATTAACGTGTCCAAAGACTATTTTCGTATGGAAAAAACCGAATCTATATATGTAAAATCCAATAGACACATTTGAAATTAATCCACTGTCAACAACAAACATCCATTTCAAAATAAGTGTCATCATACAATTTGCATGCCATTAAAATAAATGTCCAATAATACTATTCTTTTGAAGGTAAATCTGGAAATTTATAACAAAAAGTGAATTGGAACACTTATTTTAGAATTCATCAATTTGCTAAATGACACTTATTTTGGAATGCAGGGAGTACTATTTTTCAATGATTGGAACTTACCAGAAATTGCAATCGATCCCCATGGAAAAAGTCCGACATACATGATCCCCAATGTTGCAATTTTGAAGCCCTAATTTTGATGATCACTATAACTCCGTAAGCATGAACAACGGAAATCATATAAAGAAAACTAATTGCAAAGAGAAAGAGGCCAACCTTTAAGGAGGCACAAATATTAAGTAGCTATTTATGGCGAGAACGTCAATACATAGGGAATAGAGTTATAAACCCATTGCTCATTGCTGGTGTTCCGGGTTGATTACTCGAATAGGAAATCTGAAAAAATGAAAAAAAGAAAACCCTTATCGTAGAGATAGATTATGGAGAATCACGAGGAGAGAAAAGAATGGAAACAGATAAAATTCTAAGGACAAAAAGACTATAATTAAACTACACCTAATAAGAGTCCTAAGGAAAATGGAATCAACAACAAAGCCAAACGGTATAATAGTGACAAACACAAAGAAAGAAAGAAAAAACAGTAATTAGAGTGTGAACAAAATTTAATTAAACTTATATGAAGTGGAAAGTTAAAATATTCACGGGAGAGTTTTATTTATTTTACTAGTACTATCTCTGTTCAACAAAAATAGTCCACATTGAGTTTTGAATTTTGTATTATTTTAGTACAAATTTGAAAACTCAATGTGAACTATTTTTTTGGAACGTAGGGAGTATTATTTTTCACTATGGAGGCAGATTAAAACGGTTGGGATTAAAGAAATTTTCAATAACCTGAAAGAAAAGAGATAATGTGTGTGTGAGTTTATGATATTGTTTTTCTTCAGCTCATTATTTTAAAAAATGAACTAAGGAATTACCTAATAATTTTACTACATTTGTGTCTAGAAAACTGTTTTTTTATCTAGTAATTACTGAAAAATCAAGAACGAAAAAAATTTGAAAAATTGTCAAATAGGTCCCAGTTCTTTATTAATTTTGAAAAAAAAATTAATATCTGTTTATTTTGGAAAAATTTATAAAACTCTGGAAGAAATTTCCTTATAGACACGCCTAGTCCTGATCACGGTTCTAAAACCATCAGTTACAGTTCTAAAACTGCCAGTTCATTGTTCTAAGATAGATGGAACCATAATCGAACCATGTAAGAGACGATTTCGAACGGTTTCAGTTTGAGACGGTTCCGGTTCCGACTTTGGTTAGGGTTTTTTACTCGGTTCTAGTTATGATTTTGATATTTGTTGTATTTTATTAGATCTATTTCTTCTTTGAAAGTTTTCTTTTATCATGGATGACACTTATTTCAACTTGACTAAGACTGAGGAATGATTAATTTTTTTTTATTGATCTTGGTAAGTTTAGGAGAATTCACATAGTAAAAAATTACTTAGAAATTATTTTTAGATTTTCAATAATTAAGTATAATAAATTTTTTTTACATTTCTAACCAGAACGGAATCGCCGGTTATGGTTCTGGTTCTTATAAATGAAGAATCAAAACCGAACCAAAGAATTATGGTTACAGTTACAATATTTGAACCATAAATTGCGATTTCAATTTATAATCAAAATTGACGGTTCGGTTCTAGTTTGGTTCGGTTCGAACCAGAACCTTGGTCAAGTCTATACACGCCAACAGGAGAAAATCTTCCAGACACATAAATAGGGCAAGATTGTAATTTTACTGGAAAAGTTATCTCAAAATTTGAAAGGTCATGATATTTTCTTATATAATGAGTGTGTTTCTTTACTAAAAAAGGGAATACACTTGCTTTATAAAATAATTTTTCTGCCAACAGACTGAAAACCTCTAAGATAATTCACCAAAAACCTGCCAACAAATAAGATACGACCATTTCCGATGTTGTCGTGAAAAAGTGGTGAAACCAATATGTATATAAAGATTATAATAAACAAAAATATCTTGTCTCAAATGTATTACAATAATTTGTGCGGCAAATTAATTAATTTTAGGACAACACAACACGCCGTGGAACGGCATTGAAAAAATTGAAAAAGATGGATTAGGACATGTTACGGGGAGGAGCTGTCCACATAAAGATGAAAACGAAAAGTTTGGAAATGAAGAAGGAAAAAAGGTTCATTGTAGTTTCTCCACATGATGGGATGGAGGTGGTTACAATCTGCATGTGCTTAGTTTTGGTAATGTCATGTGAGATTGCCTCAGCTTATATCACCAAGTTGTCCCAATTTCCCACATTCAGCCAATGATGTGTTGTTAACCACCCACGTTTAGTCCCTCAACATGAACGACAATTATCAATAAATTGCCCCTTTTTTTGGGTAGACTTTTTTCTTTTGGGTGACGATCGAATTAGAACGTGCCAATGGAATTTCATTTCTAGTTTGTTTACTGGAGTACCATCATGTCCAGATCTCTTAGAAATTGGTCAAGAGTTTTAGCACTAGGTTCAGATTAGTTTTCAAAGTAAAATGAGTTTCAAATAGCTCAACTTGGGGAAAATTGGCATAAGAACAGATAAAATACCAACTAAGTAGATCACCAATTTATTTCTGATGTCAGTTTTTTTTTTATTTCTTGCATATGCTTGCATCCAAGTGATTTTTTTTTAAAAAAAATAATTCTCATTTTTTTTCTTTTTTTTTTTGGCTTGATACGCCACTTATTGATCAGTTAATATAATTCAGACTTAAGTTAGTCAACACTGCTGACAGCAGGTACTATGCACCACCTATGGAAGCAAAAAAAAAAAGGATAGAAAAAGAGAACACCATTCCCATTGATGAAAGATTTGTATGAAAACTTCTGGCGCCACTCACCATACTTTCAATAGTCAACTTTTTGTCCAAGGAAAAAAAAAAAAAAAACAAGAATAAAACTTCTTTCCTTCCACTGAAAATAAAACATGTTTAGACCATAAGGTCTACTCCAAAATCTCTTCTAGACTTTAGAGAGATTTCAAGATTAACCTTCGATCTTTGTTTTTTAAATGTCGTGTAAAATAATTCTTATTTAGTCCCGAAACAAAAATCCGCATTAACATAAATGAAAGTAATATAACATAGCAAGGATAGGAATTTTATATCATCTTTCTTGTTGGATTCTTGTCCTTTTGTGTTACAGAGTTACAGTGACAATATTTTTCTTATATACAGTGTCTTTTTTTTTAGGGAATATTTGTAGTTTTCGAGATTATATCATAGCCCGATAAGCGTCCACCGTCGGCAACAGTAACTAATCCTCCTAGTTAAATTGTAGGCACCTCGATGGGTGGGATAGCTGGCCAAAATATTTAAGATTGCTACATGCCCATGCGCGAGATTCGAACCCTCAACCTATATTTAAGGGTGGAGGAGTCCCTTCCACTCCACCACAGCCACTTTGGTTTAGCCCGATAACATTTTGGTACAAAATGATCCAATATCGTTTGTTAAATCGGGCCGAATGAGTGCGCGTACGATCTGCCTGCAAATGATAGGCTCTTCAATTGGGTCTTCAACAAATTGTTGGCCCATTTACAATTTTTCTCTCTTTTTTTTGGCGTCATGGAAACGTTTTCACGACGCCGGTCATTTCCCCAAGCCCTAAACCCTCGTCAGGATTTCGTTCAGAGTTCTATCTCCGATATACAAATTTGAGTACATCTTTCATCCATCGCCATCGCTGCTTCTTCAATTTCGCCGGGGGACACGAACCTCCCCTCTGATCGAGGGCTTCCACCGGTTTCTCATTTTCAGTTGCAGAGGTAAGTCTAGAATACCGTTTTTGTTGTTTTGTTTCTCCGGTCCTGACAAAATCAAGAAACTAAACAAATTTTCGTTATCACAAGTCCGTCAAATTAATTTTTGTAATTTGCAAATGTTGAAATGGGAAATCAACCTTCAATGTAGAAGCTTCTTAACGTGACCAAACAAAAAATATATATTGTGACAACTTTGATGAAATTAGATTCAAGCAATTTAAGAAAATGGTGTTTTTTCGTCTCTATCTGTTAGCATTGCAAATTGATTGGGGGCGTGGAATTTGGATTTATTGCGGGAAGTTCTTTTACTCTGAAGTCCTACCAAGTCCCTTTCTTCTTGACAGTTCTCTATTAAAAGTGTGATATTATTTAAGGATTATCACTCTTTTCTTTTGTATGATTGTTCAAAATTTGGAAAACTAGCCACCGTTGAAATGATTTGGCATGATTTTCAATTCTTATGCTAGTATCTTTATTTCTTCGAATATGGTTGTTAATGTAGGTTTGGATTGTTTTACTCCTTGAATATGTATTTATAGGAAGCACGACTAAATTTTTTTATCTGTGGTTTATCCTCTTGCTTTCTATGAATTATCAGTTTTTCTTGTTTAGGCTGTCACGTAGGAAATTTGTTTTTGGGGTTTGATCATAACGATGATCAGAGAATGTGCTCTTGGTGATCTTTTGTGTAGTAAAAGTTTAGTAGACTATAATACGGAAAGTGATTTGTCTTTTGAAATGGAGGCTTAGTTCTTATTTCATTAAAAATACATAGATTTTCTCATTGCACACAGGTTTTGTTTCAAAATACAGTTCATCGTTGTACGGAGATTTTCTTGCTGGATTTCTGCTCTTCAATCTCTTAGTAGGTAGTTGGGCACTACCATTTAACCATTTTGTAAATGATGGATTGAATCTGCCTCTAATTTTGGCCTGAGGTTAACAAAGTTGCTTTAATATTAGGGTTGGCTGTTGTTTGGCAATATCGTGTTTCAAATCCGATGTTTTACTGAATACAAGTAGTTTTATTCTGCATATGGAAATGCTTGTAATCATTGTAATTTGATATTGCCGAATAGTAACGTTGTTTTAGTTGCATTGCAGTTATTACGGTAGCTTGGAGTTTTCTTTCTGCTCCAAATGGGTTGGAAAGCTGCTCAGAAACTCATCCACCATTGGAAGATTGTCCGAGGTGATAATGTAAGGAAAAGTAAGTTGGATTTTGGACTTGATGTACAAATTGTATTTTTGGAATGCTATATCTGTTAGTGCTCATCAGGTTGTTGAATCATCTGTAGGTAATGATAATCAGAGGCAAAGATAAAGGAGAGACTGGTACCATAAAGCGTGTTATTCGTTCTCAAAATCGTGTTATAGTCGAGGGGAAGAATTTGGTCAGTGACTTGATAGCTGTCCGTGTTAACACGGCTATGTTTTTTATTATGTTTATTTTCCTTCTCATTTAGTTTTTTATTGATCAGTTATTGACGAGTAGTTGAATGGGTTAACAAACTGGTTCAGATAACTTTCCTTGTTACAAGTGGATGTCATGAGTCACGGGATACTTGGTTTCTCCATCAATCAGTACCAATTCTTTATGTTGGAGTAATATAAAGTGGTTCATTTGTGTTTCCCCATTGTGTTATTAGAAAATGGATTTGGATGTGTGCATATGATGCAGTGAACAAATTTTTCTCTGTGATTTAATGCGCAAACTTAAGTCGAGATACTGATACATATTGATGCTAGTTTTGAATAGTAATATGTTTATTCTATCAAAGCTGGAGTAAAAAAAAAAAGTAATAAAAGTTAGAGCTTTTGTGCTTTCTGCTTTGGGCTAATTCAGTCTGAATATTTCCCGGTGCATTTGATGTGCGGAAACATTTTTTGTTCTGCAGGTTTATGCATAAACTGTAGTGGTTAGAAATCACTGGTTGCTTTGATGTTTGAAATGGTTAAAAAACTGCCAGGTCAACCCATAAATCTGTGGATTGCAAGACAGATCTGTTGAGATACTAAAATTATTTAAATTCTGTGTCAAGAAAAGGTTTAGCTTCGTTATGTCTTAAATGTATTATAGTTAGTGATTCAGCGATGCTTTGAGAATAACAATTGTAGATTTGATAATTTCAATGGCCAATGCTTCTGCCTTCTTTTGGTAGCTTGGACTATGGAAAAGCGGGAGGTTACGAATGAATAATCATTTATTCTGGATTGCCTTTTGATCAAGGAAAAGTAAAATTAAACATGAAGATAAGGCCTGCCTTTATTGTTGTTCAGATACTTGTGATAACTCGGGATTTCATTTGGAACAGGATTTTTGTGTTTGTGACTGTTTGTGTGTGTGGTGTGTGTGCGTGTTTTTTTTTTTTTTTTTAAACAGTTTAATTTGTGTCAGAAAATTAAGGTTTTTGAGTAGTTTGTGAAGTATGGTTTAAGAAGATAATGCTTTATGGGTATCCTCTATTTTTATGGCTATAGGACAAATGTTGTGCAGTAGTCTTTAGTGATATTTGTTCATTTAAATGTATTCAGTGAATGATTTGCTTTTCTGAACACTAGGACTGGTTAGTTCTGTTCTCGCTTTAGTAGTCTTTTTATGCTTGAATTGTTGGTTAGTTAATTATTTGTCTTTTGTTCTGAGAGCTTAAAGTTGTCAGCTTCTGGGACAGTGCCTTTAAAAGTGCATTTTTCATTTGGAGGACAATGCTAGAAGGAATTTGATATTAGAGCCTTGGGTTCTTTTTCATATTTGCTTACATGTTAACTACTGTCTGACAGCCTTTGCTCATTCATCAGCATGACAAGTTATTTTCGTACTTTATCCTTGCAGGTGAAGAAACACATTAAACAAGGGCAAGGTCATGAAGGTGGGATCTTTACAGTTGAAGCCCCACTGCACGTCTCAAATGTCCAAGTGGTAGATCCTGTGACAGGGTAAACATCCACTTGCTATAGGTTACATGTCTGTCCATTTTCCACCTTTTGCATGTGGGGTAATTAGTTTTGACCCTTTTTATTTTTCAGGAAGCCATGCAAGGTAGGAATCAGATATTTGGAAGATGGCAGCAAAGTAAGAGTTGCTCGAGGTATTGGAGCATCAGGTTCCATAATTCCCCGACCTGAGATCTTAAAGATAAGGACAACACCACGACCAACAGTTGGTAATGCTCGAAAGATATTCTCTACTCCTTGCTGTCTGATCCCTGATTATGAACATCTTGTTGGGTGTCAGATGGTCATAAACTGATTTACTGAACCATGCTTGTCTTGACGACATTATGGAGTAGAACTGCTCTCTGATTTTTAATGCACATAGGGTTATCTAGCCTGTAAGCGGATCAACTTTTAGTTGCCTTCATAAGGCTTGTGTCTAAATGATGACTGTAAACTAGGAGAGTCTACATAACCAAGTATAAGCTGAATGTATGATATCATATTGGCATTACCTTCGTTCAGTTTTTTTGAGTGAAATTGGAAAGCTTGATAAGAGATAACGAGCTGGATCATTGGAAGGCTCGTTAGGGAAGTGGGTGCAGAATTTTATCTTAGTATAGTGGGCTATGGAGCTGCTTAGTTGCTTCTTAACTGAATTGGACTAAAATATAATGAAGGGCTAGTTGGGAAAATGTCGTATATTTTGTTTGGGTGTCTCTTTATTGGCTATTTTAGCTATTGGCTTCTTTTTTGTCGTACAATCTGTGTTCAGGATCTCAGTTGTCTTGAGCCAAAAACTTGGTTCACTGCAACTGTGAAACCAAATATCTTTTTTGGTACATTGTCCATTTTATCAAAGCATATCTTGTTGATTTCTTTTACAACTTTTCTTTGCAGCTGGCCCTAAGGATACTCCTATGGATGTGGTGTTGGAAAGGACATATGATCCTAAAACTGGACTTGGAATGCCCGACCTTATGAGTCTGCATATCCATCAACCTTCGAAGAAATCGAATAAGTGATTTTTGTCAGCAAGCTGATGATGATTTCTACCTTTTGATGCCTTTGTGGCCGGAGTTAAAACTTGTTGGAAAGACTGCTGCATTTGATTATTTTGATTCTCGTTTGAGGGAAGATAGATGGAACAACCCAGGAAAAAATTATTATATACTGCTGCAGACTATTTTTTGGTGCATCAAAAATATTTACATAATAACTCCCTCTAGTATTCCGGTTCAAGTATACCTGGTAATACGCATTACTAAAACTAAGTTCGATAAGGCAGGCAAATAATCCAGACTGCAGATTTCCAACACTATAAACTTCAGAGATTCATAAAATGCCGTATTAAGAATATGGAGACAAGATAATCTAGTACTACTGTATAGCATTCAAGATAAACGGACCATTAAAGTTGGCTGGAGAGTTATAATAGTTATGTAATTCGCAGTTTTGTTAGTAGCAAAATAAGCGTTATTAAGTAAATTTTACATTTTACTTAGTTACAGTATTGTACAGTGTAATAGTAAACTAGTACTAAATTATTGTTATGCTAATGATTTAAAATAAATACTCCCTCCGCTCTCATAATTATTGTCCGGTTTGGTTTTCAGTTCAAATTGAACTAAAAATGAACTAATGACTTAAAATAAATACTCCATCCGTCTCATAATTATTGTCCGGTTTGGTTTTTAGTTCAAATTGAAATAAAAATGAAACCTCAAACTGAACAATAATTTTCATTTCTAGTTCAAATTGAACTAAAAATGAAATCTCAAATTGGACAATAATTTTGGGACAAGGGAGTAATTGTTTTTAAGTCAGTAGTATAACAATAATTGCATCGATTAAACCCCCTGGAGCTGAAAATGGAGCTGATGAGTTATATGGGGTTTTTCCGAAAATGGTCCGTTTACGACAAAATCGGCATACACTTCGTTGTCTCCCCCGGCATCACGAAGTAACAGTCGATTATGGAAGCTCATTTGGAGGTGGGTGGGTCCTCAGCGGGTCCGACAATTTCTCTGGTTGGTGGCGAAGGATCATTTGTTGACAAACGTTGAACGAAAACGGCGCCACCTTGCTAAGTCTGATCGTTGTGGCATATGTGGTAGGGAACCGGAAACAATTCTGCATGCACTGCGAGACTGTATTGGTGCTGCCATTATTTGGTGGCGTCTTATTCTAGGTGGTTGTCGTTCGGCTTTCTTTTCCATGCGTCGACTGACTGGCTCATGAAGAACTTATGAGGAGAGGTGGGTGTGGGTCGCGACGACTGGAATTGTGTTTGGGGTGGCTGTATGGCGGCTTTGGAGGAATGCCAAGGTCTTCACTGGGAGTGACCAGCCTTTACAACAACGTTTGGTGGAAGTTGAGACGTTTGTTGAGGGGGTGAAGTCGGCTTTGCTTGGTGACCGACAACTGGAGCTCCAAGGTCGTGTGATGAATCCTGTTTGGTTAAAATGGTCACCTCCGCCTGAGAACTTAGTGAAGCTTAATACAGATGGGGATCTCAATACACTTACTAGCTAGAATGGCGAGTGCGGGAGGTGTGCTTCGTGACCATTTGGGTCAGTGGAGAGGTGGCTTTCTTATGAACATTGGCTTTTGCTTGATTACCGGTGCTGAATTATGGACTTTGTTTCAGGGTCTATACCTAGCTTGGGCGCTAGGTTATCAGAACATCATCGTTGAAGTAGATAATTTGAGCGTTGTCAGAATGGCTCTTGGGGAAGTTGACTGTTATGGCATGCACAGAGGGTTGTTCATGGCTGTTCGCGATGTGTTGAGGAAAGACTGGGTGGTTGAACTGAAACATATATACTAGGAGATGAATTTTGCTGCAGACTCATTAGCGGCTTTAGCAATGATTAGCCTTAGTGGACTACAATGGTTGGATGATCCTCCTGATAGTGTTAAACCCTGGCTCCAGTATAATATAGTGGGTGTGTCTTATCAACGTGCTCTAATCGCTTAGTGTTTCAGGCATTTTTCTCCTTTTTAGTACCAAAAAATAATCTAGAAAAGAAAAGAAAGGAGGAGAGAGTATTAAAAGAAGGAAAATGATATATCTAGTGAGAAAAATAGTGAAAAAAAGATAGTGAGTAATGTAGAATGTTTTTGGCCCCTAGTTTTTTGTTACTTTCCCGTTAAAATTTTATCTTTCCCTAAAAATTATATTTTTACCATTAATTAATAAGTACGCATATTTAGTGAGTATGGTGTATTTGTATTTTCATTAATCCATATACTTTTTCACTATAATTAGTCACTATCTCTACCACTATTTTTTAAAAAAATAATAATAATCAACCGATGATTAATTAACAACCAGAACAACTGTTACCAGTGACCTAAAACAAATTTGAAAAAGACGAAGAATAAAGTTCGGCCCCCATTTTTTCTTCCCTCCGTACCAACTAAAATCTGAAAAATAAAACTGATGGGGCAATGTTATCCCATTGCCTTATTGGGCCTCAGTAGCTATAACCTGAAGGCTACAAAAGGTCCATCCAAGAGCCATGTGCACCCATATGCTAGAGGAATATTACATATTTCCTTTTTGGTCTATGAAAGGAGACATCCCCAAAGCATTCAAAGGAGGTTCTTTCTCTATCTATTTTTAGCACTTTAATACTTTCCTTCTCTCTCTAAAAGTTATGACTTAAGTATCGGAGTGTTAACCCTATTTTGCAGGTTTTAGGTAATTTAGGCGCTGCTTCGTGGATTGACCAAGGACCGCACCATTAATTGGCACGATGAGCCTGGGGGCAGTCGCCCCCAGACCCTGTGTCCACTAAGCCAACGGCCGCTACAAAGCAAGACGCTAAGCACGGTCGCACTGGCAAGCAGATAGCAGACGCTTACAAAGGTTCCAACTTGCAGAAAGAGCTCGAGACTTCGGAAGAGAGCTCTCATCAGTCCACGGGTCATCGGGACCGTCGTTGCGACCCATCTCTCGACGACCAATGGCGGCAGTTTGCGAGGGCACACCCCGTGGTGCTAGAGCAATTTAGGGCATTCCAGGAGTCGCAGCGCGAAGGACATTATGATCGCGAGGAGGAAAACTTGGAACGAAGTATTCAATACTTGCGCACATATAGGGCCACGACGGATCCAGGGAACTGCCACGCAACCAGGGCCCCAATCTGCGATCGCCTTGGTCCGCGCCCGCCTGTGGCTGACAAACACAAACCACGGGTAACAATCGGTGACCGCCTGGGAACATGCATTCCGGAGGTTCCGGGCCTTGTTCCCTCTCACCCACGTCTGTCAGTTATCCTCGCCGACTCCCTAAATCCGGGCCCCCCTTGCTCCCGCATCATGGCCGCTGAAAGGACAGAGGGCTTCAAGATGCCAAGTGATATTAAGAAGTATGTCGGTGACTCGTGTCCAGTTTCATTCCTAGCCAATTACACCAGTGCAATGTGACTGCGCAATGCCAATCATGATTACATAGCAAAGGCCCTCCCAACTGTGCTCACCGGCGTCGCGAAGTCCTGGTTTCATTCGCTGCCTCTAGAGAGCATCCCCGCTTACACGGACTTTAGCGAAAAACTCCATACCTGCTTTTTCCAGTTTAAGACGGTGGTGAAGACAAAGAACGATCTCGGGGTAATGAGATAGGGTCGCCACGAATCCTTAACGAAGTTTTATGCCCGGTACACCAAAGATGTTTTGCTCATGTACCAGGTGGACGATCTTGTGTTGCGCCAAACCTTCATAAATGGACTGAACCCCTTCGGCCCGACTGCGTAGTTGAAGAGGGACCTGGGCAAGGACTTCCCTCCCACGAGTCAAGCCCTATGGCAGCTAGTCGAAAAGGAGGTCCGGGATGAAAAATCCACACACCACGCCGAAGAGCTGTTTGGCAGCAAGGATGTGTCGATCCCCTTCCGGGCCCGGGACCCCGGCAGGCACCCCACGTCCCGTTTGGATAGGTATCTATCTCTCGCAAGACTACGTCGCGAGGTACTCCAAGTGCAAAAAAGCGACCCGGAGCCGGCGACCAAAATCGAGTCCACTGACGAATGGTGCGAATACCATCAAAGGCAAGGACACAACACTCGCAAATGCCGAAAACTGAAGTGAGAAATGGCAAAAAAACAGAAAGAAGGAAAGCCCCTGCTAGTATGCGCAGGGTGACCGCCGATCGCGTTCGCCGGGTTGCACGAAAAGACGAGGCCGGCGATGGGACAGTCGCAACCATGGAAGGGGTGATGGCGGCAACCAAGAAGATAAGGACAATGCGAAGAAGATGCCTCCGCACGAGACAGCTCCCCCCGTTAAGCCCATAGTCCATGGCATCCCACTAAACACCGTATTCTGCATGCCATTGGAGGTGCAGAGCATATCTTCCTTAAAGGCAGTAGCGCGGTCGCGCCCATCGGGAGAGTCAGAACACAAGCGCCTTAAACCTTCGAAAATCATCACTTTTTTGGCTGATGACACGGTCACTGGTCCCCCATCTAGTGCGGATGCCCTGGTAATCAATGCGATCATCCACAACAGGGAGGTGCACCGGGTAAATGTCGACCCGGGGAGCGGTGTTAATGTCATGTATCAGGATTGCTTCCAAAAGCAGGGGATTGACAAGTCACAGCTACGGCCATGCGCGATGCTGTTGATGGGATTCTCCAACCACATCATTGTCCCCTCCAGGATAATCACCCTCAGCGTCACGGTTGGTGAGTACCCAACTTGCAAGACGGAGCTTTGCGATTTCGCAGTGGTCGATGTGATCTCACCATTCAACATCCTGCTAGGAAGACCCTAGATGGATCAGGTAAAGGCTATATTCTCGTCCTATCACTTAGTCATGAAGTTTCCAACAGATTACAGAATCGTCGAAGTGAGGGGTGGCAGGCAATTGGCTCAGCTATGCATGTCGGTCGCGGACATAAAGGGGAAACAAGCACTCACGGGTGCAAACGAAAACCAAGTGCTGCTGCCAAGCACCACGAATGAGACCGCGACCCCTTGCCTTGAAGTCATACCCATTGACCAAGACATGGTAATTCTAGATCTATCAGAGGACGATGGCCCGGACGACAAAACTGCTGGTGACACGGAGGAGATTTCTCTGAATCCGTTCATGACCGACTGAGTGATCCTGGTTGGGACGGACCTCCCACCAAGCATTAAGGACGCCGTGGCAGATCTCTTGAAGCGGTTTCAGGACGTCTTTGCGTGGGACGCAACTGACATGACTGGGATTCCCCCTCACTATGGAACACACAAGCTTAATGTATTTTTGATGCGACCCCCATAAAGCAGCGCCAGCGACGTCAGTCAAAGGAATGCTGTGCAACCATAAAAGCAGAGGTCGCCAAATTCCTGGCTGCACAGATCATTAGAGAAGTCTTCTACCCGCTGTGGCTGGCCAACCTGGTGATGGACCGAAAAATTGATTTGACATGGCGGATGTGCGTTGACTACAAGGACTTGAACAAACATTGTCCCAAGGATTCCTATCCGCTCCCCATAATTGATCAAAAGGTGGACGCAATATCTGGATTCAAGGTCCTGTGCTTTTTGGATGCATACATAGGATATCAGCAAATCTTGATGACGACAGCGACGCTGAGAAGACAGCTTTCCTAACTGACATCGGCACCTACCACCATGTCAAGATGCCCTTTGGTCTCAAAAATGCAGGCGTGACTTACTAGCGAATAGTCAACAAAATCTTTGACCAGCAAATTGGCCGCAACATGGAGGTATACGTTGACGATATGATTGTTAAAAGTCGTAGTCTCGAGTCCATGCTCGATGATCTGGAGGAGACATACTGCACACTTAGGCAAGTCAACATGAAACTCAACCCAAAGAAATGTACATTCGGGGTCGCATCGGGCTAGTTCTTGGGATTCCAGGTATCTCGTAGAGGAATCTACGTGGATCCAACTAAGGTGACCATCATCATAGACCTTCAAGAACCGACTTGCGGGCCTCCTAGCCGCAGTCGGTCATTTTCTTTCGCGATTCGCTGAACGGTATCTACCCTTCTTCGCCGCTCTGAAAAATGCTGATGAGTTCACATTGGGGGGAAGAGACTGTCGCAAGGCGTTCGCAGACCTAAACGAACACCTGTCGCAGGTTCCTACCTTGGCTACACCGAAGTGTGGGGAGCTCCTTGTCAGCTACCTGTCGACGGGGGAGTTTACCATTAGTGTAGTTCTGGTTCAAGAAAGTGGCACTCACCAAACGCTAGTACACTTTGTCAGCAGAGTGCTACAAGGAGAGGAGACTCGTTACACCAGCATTGAGAAGCTGGTGTTGTGCCTTGTCATGGCAGCAAGGAAGTTGCGACCGTACTTCCAGTCCCAAACAATTAAAGTGATGACCGATCAACCCATCCGGCAGGTACTACGCAAGCCAGAAACCTCAGGATGCATGACAAAATGGGTGATCGAGTTAGGGGAGCGCGAGATCGAGTTTGTACCCCGTCGCGCCATCAAAGGTCAGGCTCTCGCGGATTTCCTCGCTGAAATGCCGACAAAAGCGGCACCCAAGCCCGAACCGCCCGAGCCGCAAATTCCCATTGCACCAGCAGATGCCTGGACTTTGTTCATCGACGGATCCTCCGCGGACAGCGGCGCGGGTGCTGGCCTCATTTTGGTCGATCCAAAGGGGGGGAGCGTACCTACGCTTTGCGTTTCGACTTCCCTGCCACAAACAACACTGTAGAGTATGAGGCTTTGATAGCCGGACTTCGGATCGTGCAACGTCTTGGCGCTGAGAGGGTTAACGCATTTAGCGACTCCAGCGTGGCGGTAAATCAAATACGTGGCGGTTACACAACCAGGGGACCGCAACTGGCCAAATACCTTGCATGTGAAGCAACTCACTCAGGCCTTCCAGGACTGTACCATCTCCTATGTACGCCATGCTCTGAATAAAAGGGCGGATGCGCTGAGTAAGCTGACATCGTCCGCGTTCGCACATTTGACCCAAAAGGTCCTGGTGGATATACTCCCACACCCCAGCATAGAAGTAGATATGGTCAATCAGGTTGATGCCGTACCAGCACCGAATTCGTGGATGACACCGATCCCAAGGTACCTGGCGGATGGGACGTTACCCAGAGATAAAACCCAAGCCCGACGCATTCGGCGCCAAGCGCCCCGGTTCCTGCTAAAGGATGTCATCCTCTACAAGAAAGGATACCTACAGCCCTGGCTGCGGTGTGTTGGTCCGGAAGTAAGTGAGGTTGCTACTGGCCCACTCCTGCACAGGATTGCTACAACTATGTACTCAAATGCCACAATTGTAAACGTTTCGCCCCCATTGTGCGAGTGCCGCAACACAATTTGGTATCCATCTTCAGTCCCTGGCCTTTTCATAAATGGGGCACCGATATACTGGGCCCGTTTGAGAAGGGGACCAGGCAGGCGCATTGGCTCCTGGTAGCAGTTGACTATTTCACCAAGTGGGTGGAAGTCGAACCCATAGCATCGCAGATCGGAGCGGTCGTCGCCAAATTCTTATGGAAAAATATTGTTTGTAGGTTTGGAATTCCTCACATAATCGTCTCGGATAATGGAACACAATTCAAATCTGGCACGTCCAAAAGGTGGTGTGAGGAATTCGGGATCGAGAGGAAGTTTGCTTCTGCCGCGCATCCGCAAGCTAATGGTCGCGCTGAGAATGCCAACCGCACAATCATGCAAGGCATCAACCGGAGACTAGAGCCCCTAAAGAAAGGATGGGTAGAGGCGATACCCCACGTCCTTTGGGCGCACGCACAACACCCCAAAAAGCGACAAACCAAACTCTTTTTTCCTTGGTCTACGGAGTGGAGGCTGTGATTCCAGCAGAGATAGAAGTGCCATCCCACCGCGTCCTACACTTTAGCGAAGATAAAAACGAGGAAGAACACAGGGGATCCCTTGACCTGGTGGCGGAGGTCCGTGATGCTGCCTACATTCATGATGCACGGTACAAGCAACAGGTTGCAAAGCTTTACAACAGTAGGGTCTGGGCAAGGAAGTTCTTGGTGGGCGATTTGGTTCTCAGGAGAAACGACGCAAGTCATGCTGAACCTGAGAGAAAGCTATCCCCAACTGGGAGGGTCCCTATCGCATTATTGGATCTTCTCCATCTGGAGGCTATAAACTCCAAACATATGAAGAAGAGCTCTGGGATGTAGCGTGATGGTGGAATGTGCAACATCTGAAAAAGTATCACTACTAAGTGGCAAACCCCACAGTCGGTAGCCTATCCCTTCTCTCTTAATTTATACTTCTTGTCATTCGCATTCTGTTCATGTGGCAAACCCCGGATTCACTGCGACCCCACCTTCCATAATGCGATCCGCCAATGTCCGCAGCGATCCCCTAAGACTGTGTGCATACACCCGGTAGCGGGCAAGGATCTGCAAATCCCTTTAGCAGCGTACAAACACGGTAGCCTACACCTTCTTCAAACCATCCAAAACAAATTCCAGATAGGACCGCGGGAGCGTGGCCTCAGCGCCAGTAGGGATAAACTGCCGCTTCGATAGCGGCACCAACTTCTTCAATTCACGCACAGTTTCCTCCAATTCTTCAATACATTCATCTTGCTGATCCCAAATCTGAATAAAATCACGGAGGTGCCCCTCCCATAAGTGTTCATTCTTTCAATAATCGGACTGACAGCGCCTTAGTACCAATCGCAGGGCTTGGAATTCAACGGCGTACATGGAGCGAACCAGCTCCCTCATCTGTTTCTCTTTTTCCTCCCGATCATGGCTCCCAGCACACGGTGGGTCTAAGAGACAGGAGACGATCCGATGATAATATAGAGACCCCTCTGTATCAACGCTTGGATCGAGAATTTTCATGGTTACCATGCCGTCTCCTACCGTGCCGGTAGTATCGGAACTCTCCCGACGGTGGTCCCCTCAACAAGATGCGACGCACCAACATCACCCAAACCACCCAACAAAAGCAGGGAAATCAACAGGCACCACATTAGGAACAAGTGAGCCATCATTTTCCCCCAACGGAAACGCCTCCTCAAAGCGAGTGGTTTCCTACACAACCAGGGGGATAGTAGTCAAAATTTTTCCTCTAATCCGGCGAGAAAAACATAAGAAACAAGAGAAGAGCAGTACAACTGTGGACCATGACAAAACATACGCCACTGGAGCATAGACAAAACCAAAAAAAAAAAATAAAAACTAGGCAAACAACAACAAAAGAACAAGTACTAAAGGATCCCACAAGTACGTTATTACAAAACATCTACTGGCACTGACACTATCAACCGAAAACCGCCAGGAATAACATCCGACAAAACAAGGGGGAGAATGCACCAATCTATACCTCACCACCATCCTGTGGATGCGGGGCACCATCCCCCAAGGGGGGAGGATTGTCTTCATTAGCACCCACAACGCCCACACCTTCTCCCTACCCTCCAATCATTCCCAATCTTGCGCTAAGCGACCCGCTGCTGGAAGATGATCTCTCCTCTTTTGAATCATGGACGGGTGACACGGGGGGAGTTGGGACCCCAAGGGGCATGTCGAACAAGGGAGTGCGATCGCACTCCAGGTCCAGGATACCTTGCGGGGACGTCACTGTCGGGCAAATTTCCCGGATCGCCTGTATCATAGGCAAGGCATCAACATCGAGGTCATGAATATTAGCGCGCGCGTCCCTTGCAACTTTAGCCATCAGATGCTTCTTGGACGAATAATCGTCCCAGAACAGGGCCACCCTCTCCCGGACAAAAAAAATAGAATCCTCCCCATCCAGTCATAATGCTTGCGAATCTGCTTCAACACGGAGTGGGCACCAACACCACCAACAGCTCCAAAAATATTCCCCAACCCCACCATAAACTGATGCGATCCAAGTGTCTTCCTCACACTATTTACGATGGATAATTATTTCCGTAATTAGTTCGGAGATTTGATAAACCCTAATCCCACACAATTATCACCGAATAATACAAAGGATAAATGAATGTTAATTTATTTAAGATTCTTTTTTTTTTGTTGACTTTGAGTCCAAAAACAATCATAGCAAATTTCGGGGATGACGAAGATTCCGCGTGGTTTAATCCGGTTATTATGATAATTATCAATTTCTTGTTTTTTTCTTGACTTTGGGTCAAAAAACAATCATACCAAATTTTTGCCACTCCGCAAGACTTATTTCGGTAATTTTGTTAATTAACATTTTCCTATTATAACCGAAAAACCCCAATAATTAGTAATCTGCTTAATAATAATACATCAATGTCATTTATTTACGATTCCATTATTTTCGTTTGACTTTGGGACAAACAACAATCAAAATTAATGTTGATTGATTGGTTATAAGTTATTGTATTGTTCTAGATTTTAAAAAAAAACCGTACATTACCACAAATATGTATGTGCTCAATTTTTTTTTCCATAAATTCCCAACGACTTGTGTTGTTATCGTATCAACTTTTTTGTAAGATTTTTTATAAAAATGCCACATAGGATCTTTGCTTACATGGCAATATAAAAACTTTTTTTGAAACCTCTCTTTGGTTTCTCTCTTAGTATAGTATCATAGATTTTTTGTCAGTAAAATGGCGAAATATGGAGAGTCCTTTTAGGCGTGAAATTGGGGTGTATCCTTATTTCTTTCAAACTGAGATTTGATGCTGATTTGATTTGATGCTAATTTGACTTGATGCTAAACCTTTTTTGCATTAATTTCCAACATTTTCCTTTACTGCCATTAATTATAGCCATCATCCTGTATGTGTCAGTACCTCTTCTGATAACATATTATCTCATGTTGTTAAAACTAATGAATATAAAAAAAAAATAAAAATAAAAATAAAAAATTTAACGAACAGAAAATGCTTGCTTCTAGTTAACTTTTACTGGAAAAAAAAATTGATTACGAGCATGAATCACCAAGTGGAGTACAATAGTTTAGTTGCTCCGCTGTGATATTGTAGAGGTAGTTATCTACATAATAACATTAGTAGTATCATTGTTTAATGCCTCCATGCACCAAAAGATCCAAAAAAAAAAAATTAAAAATGGCAAGAAAATAGCTCTCTGTCATTTCATCTTCTGAGTAAAGGATAAAAAGGCACGGTAAAACTAACTTGATTCGTTTAACTTTGATGGCAAAACAATACATTCCTACTTTCCTCAATTTAGGCTCCAACATTAGAAACTAAAACGGCCTACGTCGATTTCTCTGTTTACCTATACTTCTTAGCTTTAGCCAACTTTTTTTTCTTCTTCTTCAAAGCTTTTGGAACTTTATGTTTGCGAGCCTCTCTCTTCTCTTCTTTAACTTTCTTCTTGTTTTCTTTTCTAGCTGCTTTTCTATCTGCACTTGTTGGCACATCTTCAGATGATGATGATGATTCTTCGTCTGACACATTTGAATCAGTGTCATCTTCATCTGTTTCTGAAATCGAGTCACTAATGCACGGTTCATGGTGTTCCCCTGACGCTACTACAGGTTGCTGGACCTGCAGCGACTGCTTTCCTGCCGATGTGCTGTCTGAGATAGAAAGTGCCTCCTTAAGACCTGTGATAGTCTTATAAAACATATCATCGGTATCAGTCCCACTGGTAATGCGTTGGACATCCTCTTCTGCATTCTTCACATGATCGAGTGTTTTGGGAATGAATGTCTGCACAACAAAAAATGAATGGTCACAATTCCCAGATCTTGGCAGCCTTGCAACTCATTTAGAGTACAATCTGTGATATAGTATCCCTCTGACAATTCACCTGGATATTAAAACCTTTTTCTCACCAAAGGACTCTAGAAAAGGTCAGAAAGTTTCTGATGCTTTTCAGCTTCATGCAATGCCAACATGAAACATATTCTTTCAATGAAATTGAAACAAATTGTATACTGACCTGGATAAATACCGAATCAGCAATTTCTTCCTCTGGAGAGATCACATTACCCCTGGCCAAAATTTTTTGCTGCACCTGCAAAGTAGTAAAAATTGTGAACCTCGAATGTTCAAAGATGAAGCAAAGTAAACAGTATAATGGTTATACCTCTTCCAAATAACTGTCAACTGACTCATCATCGATTGAAGGATCAACAATAAAATCAAACAATTCTCGTATAAACATAACAGCAACACCGTGTTTCTTGAAGAAATCCTGCATATGTACTCATTGTGTTAAAACAATAAAACTCTACCTGATGATGTTTCTCAATGCAACCGAAAGAGAGGGAGAGAGACTTACAGAGACATGACAACAATCTTCTCGAAGAAAATCAAGAGCATGTGGATGGTCAAGATCAACAGATTGTGACACATCAATGATATACAAGTGACCCTGCGGAACAGAATAATTTTCTTGTTAAACGTTTTATTGGAAAATACAAGTGAACAGAATATAAGTGACCCTGCGGAACAAAAATGTGTCTACCTCAAAGTAAAGTATGTTATATTCACTGAGGTCTCCATGGACCAGCTTGCATTTCTGATACAGTGTTCGCATTGCCAATATGATCTGAAAGACAGCATGAGGTTGCTATTAAATCTAGGCCATATCATTAGCGAAGATAACAAGCGGAGGAAAGAACACTAGTAAGAGTTCAATTTCATAGTTGAACATCTACACCATTTACTAACTGCCAATCTTAATCGCAAGAGAACTGAATGTCAAATAAGTAGCATTAACAAAGAGTAGAGAGCATTGGCAATATGATCTGAGAGACAGCATGAATTCACTCTAACAAAACTTTAACTTTAGGCCATATCATTAGCGAAGATAACAAAGCGAGATAGAACACTAGCAAGAGTTCAATCCCATAGTTGAACATTATACTACTTAGTAACTGCCAAGTGTCTAATATGTAGCATTAACAGGGAGTAAACATGCCGAACTCCATTTTGCTGACAAAGAGCACGATCATTCACCTAGCACTTCTCTTATATTCACATATTAAAAACATTCATAGCGGTATTCAAAACATAAACACCAAAGCAAAAGTATATTATAAATGGATTTTAGTTCTATAACATTTATAGCTCGTCAGTGCAACATTGCAGTCTCATTCTCACTCTAGCTTTGTTTACACGTTCAAGGTTCCAAGGTGACTATTCATCCATCCGATGAAAAAATTTCAGGGGTGACCTGGAACTAGTGGTAAACTCAACATTGTATTTTTATTAAAAGAGTTCGTAAATTGAACATGAACTACAAAAACTTCAACTTAATGAAGGTTACTCTTATGTTTCTAGAACAAGCTAATGCAAATTATTACATGGTCTACCAGCAGGAATATTTGCTTAAACATACAAAAGATCAAAGAATTAGGGCATCACTTTACAAGGCAAAAAGGGAGTCCACAATGAGCTGCCACTAAAACACAAAACAGGAAGGTATGAGGTACAAATGCATGGCTGTTCAATGATAACAATGCAAACTGGAAATGCAGGAAAGTATTGATTATATGGTTCTACACAACCTTTGATCATGAAAGAAGTCCCATACACCATTAAGTCTCCTTATAGGAAAGATTGATAAACAAATCCTACTTTGATAGGCCTCTTCTAGAGTTCACACTTATCACCACTATAAATAGGCTTTTACCTCACACCTTTAACTAACAATGCTTCAAATAAACTATGCTAGTTCTACCTACTGTCCATTTCAATATTTTTCTCAATAAGTCATATCGTATTATTGTAACAATAACGAAGTTAAACACGTTTTAGGAGTATTGGAGTCCTTTTGCTTAATTTGTTGGGTTAAAGTAGTAAAAGGAGGAGCCTCGTGAAATCTTTGAGCTTAAGCTTTCTCCGCATGTTAAAATACACGAGTTCAGCAGAGAAATACCTCAACGTAACATTCACGTAGTTTGTCAAGCGACAAAGAAGCATCCTTGAGTCGAGGTGCAGCCCAACCAGCCTTGCCTGCAGTGAAGGAAGTGCAAAATGCTTTCAAGTGTTAAATGGACCTATAGCCAAAAAAGGAGAATGCAATATCAATTCTCTAGCTACAAAAGATAGTCATTCATAGACCATCTGAGGCCTACATGAGAAAATTGATGTTGACTGAGAACTAGGACACTGCATGTCAAGGTTAACTGGCAGTTTAATTATATGTTCAAGTACACAAAAGCAAAACTCAAGGGTTTCGGTAACTTATTTAAACATGCAAGAAAGACAACTATTTAAATCACCACAAGCTACTTCAAAAACAATTAACTGCTGAGACATTGATGGGAAACAATTTTATCACCTTAACCAAACCACAATAAATCTATTAAAACAAGAACGCATTTTCTATTTTTATTCATGTAGGTCCGAGACTACAGATATCTCTATGACAGTCATATTGACAAGGTGGACACAATTATTATGCCAACAAAAATAATAAAGTAGCTAGACATTATTATCCTTAGGTGAAATTTTTAATCTCTACTATGTTATCAGAATTGGTGGTAAACCTGTATTGTTTCCTATACTTTGCCTCTATTAAATAGCACGGTCACTGATACAATAACTCCGACATAAAACAGAAATGAATATTGAACAGAGTCTAATACTGGCCTTCATTTAAAACAGAAAAAGAACCACAAAAGCACATATGAATATTGAATAGCACAAAGACAGTACCTATGAATTCCATAACCAAAACATGAAGCCTCAAAAGAAGTGGAGATGGACACCTGATACCTGCTGCCTTTAGCCTAAAGTTTAACATCATTTTGCATATTCAAGAAGGGAAAATGGAAATTAGTTCTCTGGAAAAGAAATGTCCGGAAAAGATATGTAAATTACAGCACTGCAAATGACTAACATTGACAAAAAAAAGGTTTGAACATTCAACCAAAGTCCAACTTCCAGAACTCCTTTATTTCAGAAAGCACGTTACAGTGAAGCGAATGTGGTTATTGTAATTGTTAATCAACACATATGAATTAATAATTCTGACCACCCTTCAAAAGAATTTACCAAAACCAAAATACTGAGAGGGAAGATATTGAAATTTTGAAAAGAGTGGTGATACATAAAGGGAAAAACCAGGGTCACGGTAGAATTACAAGCATTTGCTATCAATTTTCCCAAAAAAACACACAAATATTTGCTATTACTTAAGCACTTTGATCATTAAAAACGTCAAAAGAGGGTAGCGAAATACCTCAGAAGATTCCTCATTTCTTTCTCAGCCCATGTCTTGACCATTTTTCTGGGGTTATGCTTGCAGTATCCGTATCGAAATCGGTAATCACCTTGAACGTACCGATCCCTATCCCTGTTGTTAACATAGCATAGCACATGAATAACAAATCTCAGATGCCTGGAACACAACATTTAAAATCTAATTCTGCAACATAAGGGCAAAAAAATTAGTAAAAATATTAATGTAATAATTCATCACTGAGCTCAAGAACAAAGAGGGAAAAATATGATCACAAGAGAACATTTAATAATGCTTTCCCACGACCCATTTTACATTGAAATTAAAAGTACCGAAAGGATCCGTGTTCTAGTGTAAGCTAGCAGAGTTGGTATATCATTGTTTTAGCTATGTAATTCATCTTTACTTGTATAATTTTAGAAAACATCAAACACCAAACCATAAGCTATATATAATTACAAAAAAAAAATTAAGGAATCTGAACACCAACTTGAATACTAGAACTGAAGTCTTGTAAACTTTTATTGCTAGTTCAGCACCATCGGATTTTGTAGCATGGTAAACATTGGCCTGCAAGGATGGCACGGAAAATAAACAATGTATTGAAAAAAGCCAAACAGCAAATCAAAATCCCAAGACACACTTCACTGAAATTTACATAAACAATATATAATTAGAGATTTCTATTCTCAGAGCTCCATAGTTTACATACTTCCTTTCCAGTAGAAATGCAGCCATTAATGTCATTGAAGATACCCCGGTTTAGCATTTTGAATAAAACCATGCGAGTTCTTGGGTCAATAGCCTGAAAAGAGGGGCAGGAAAAAAACGATTCAGATGTCCATTGTATTTGAACTTTGTGATATGCAGAGCAAGGAAGTGATAGAATGCACAGCAAATTTGACAGGGTTTATAGCATTCAGTTTTGATGAAATGAAGGCACAAAATTGTTTCTATGTAACTACAACAGCAAAGAGACAACACAAGCAAGACCAAAATACTTTAAGCACTACAGAAAGGCCTTCGAGAATTATGACATTATGCATTAAGAACCACAACCCACGTAATCAAGAACAACTCCAATTTAATTCCGAAAAATAGAGGAAAAAAGTAGGACCTCTTGACCCATTTAGAATTTTAAAAAAAGTAAATTTGGTTACCCCATTGAAAACAAAGTCATGGAAACATCAGCCACAAAGCAAATTACTAATAGCAAGGAATTGAAACTTTTAATCTTCCAATCAGATTTTCACCATTGTTTCTCACATTTCGAGGCTGGTTATCAGAAAAGGCAACAATGAAAGAATATTACAAAAAGAACACTAATAAATCATAGCATAAATAAAGACCAATCAAATTTGTAGTGACATATATTTTGATGCATAGACAGAATAACAAGGAACTAAAATAAACGAAGTGAATGTAGCAGGGAGTCAGAAGAAGTATGAGGTGAATAATCAGCAACGGGCATTTTATTCCAGAACTATGGACACCAAAACTCTTCAAATGCCACACTGAAAAATGCTTATAAGTTGGTGCATAACCATTTTCCATTTAGGATTTACCTGTTCAACAGTAGCACGGTCTGCTTTGTCTGTGGCTTTGGATTTTCCAATGGCCATGCCACGCACACTCTCTCGGATAGCAGCTGTCACAGAGTTCGACATACCAACATTCATCCTTCCCTCCCAGTCCTGCCAATTAACAGGTTTCGTAAGCTAAAACCCTAAAACCAGACGACATTGTGTATAAAATAGAATATAACTTGTAAACAAAGCTAAATAAATGACAAGTAAAACATTGTCGCCATCGAAATCATAAATTTCCATTTAGTGACTCAATGAACCCAGAAATTGGATTTCCCAACACTCGATCAGAAGCAACAGTTCGAAATATACATGTCTTTTACATGGACTTACAAAGACAAGTTTACTAACAATGCAAGGACTAGTTTTATGCAGAAAGGTATCACAGGTTATGAGGGTTCTTAATCTTATCCCTGGAAACTTAAAACTTAATCATGGAGGAAATAATAAGGAAATGAAAGAAACAGACGATAGGGAAGTGGATACCTCCAAGGGAGATGCTCTGATGTGACTAGTAAATTTCTGATTCCGATTCGCAAGAGGTTGCAGAGATGAGGCATTAGGGCGAGAGTGAAGCCCCCCATGTGCATTAGGCCGCCTAGTGTGTAGTTTTAAATTGCCATCAATTATCCCTGAATCATCCTTAGAATCTAAAATATCCAAAGCTTCTCCAATTTCAGATTCTGAAGACCAAGATAGTTCATCTTCTTCATATTCTTCATCTTCAACATCATTTACCACCTTCTCCACTTTTTCTACAGCACAAGACATCCCTAAATCACAATATCACTACAAGGACTTCTTGGTTGATGTTTTACAAGGGCTGATTGTAGACCTGATATCGAAAATACAAATTTAATCAAAGTTCAACAGAATCAAATTAGACAGAATGTAGACTTCAAAACATAGCCAACTTAAAATGTAAATACTAGACGACGCTTAGCATAAGGAAAAACACAAACAAACAACAAAAAGTTTCCCAACTTTGCAGAAGGGCTGGACCACAAGTTAAGAAATCCCACATTCAAAAGCTTGTTACCGCTTTAAAAACGTATATGGGAAAGACCAAATACTGTATATTTTTCCAATTTAAACCATACAAGACCCTCTTCCGATGACCACAAAACAAATTCACTTAATTCTAAATAACTCAGGGTAGAGTGAAAATTTTCTCAGGCTATAATTGAAATTAAATTGAACTGACATACCATCTGAAGCCACCAAAAAATCACGTAGAAATATCTTTTGATGCTGAAGAAAGAAGCGAATTACAGTTCCAGGTCGGCCAAATTATACAGCGAATTAATACGTGATTCCGGTGATTCGGAATTTCAGACAAGCTGATATTGGGGGATTGGGCGGCAGGAAAGGAGGAGGGCGCAGTGATGATGGTTGGAGACTTGAAGTTCGGGTGCAGGGGAAGTGGGAAAAAACAGGTTCTTAGGTTAACGGGTTTAGAAGGTTTTGTTTTTTAACTTCCGAAGAAAATCAATTTTTAAAATTATTTGTGTGGCTCTTCCATAAAGGGGGGCAATTGTTTTAGGCCCCAAGTTGAGAAGGCCCTAAATTGTTAATAGATAATTGTTAATCAAATCAAACAGGGGATTTTTTCCTTAAATATTTTTCGGAATATATACCTGGACAAAAATAAACCTTTCAAAAATTTTCTGGACAAACTTATATGTCCCGAATTTAAGAAATCCGAATGGGGGAGAAGCTCGGATTTCGGAAATCCGAATCTCCATAAACTCGGATTATAGAAATCCGACTTTGTGTTACGTAAATTCGATATTAAGTTAATGACAAAAATTAGTATAATTAATCTAAATCCAGATTTTCTAAATCTTTATTTACGAATAAAATATTAATTTCTGGATAGAAAAAAAATATGTGTTAAAAAATTAAATTTGGGAAAACACGGATCACAGTAATCCGAATAAATGTAGATTCGGATTACCGAAATCTGAATCTCCTCTGTTTTCTGAAAAATGCTAATTCTCAGTTGGCTACATACTCGGATTTACAAAATCCGAATCCTTCACAAAAAGTCTGAGCTCGGATTTCGCAAATCCGAGTCTATGTCAGAACTGAAAAAAAAATTGGACTGGTTTTAACCAGTCCTAAACCTGTTTACAGCACCAACAACAATGAAACATTGGAAAACAGAAATTTAATGGCAACAAAACAATAAACGGCATTCGATTAACAACAAAACAAATCAAGTTTCATACCAAAATGAATACAAAAACTACTTCAAAAGTGCAAAATACATCAAAGGTCTCACTTTTTTTCCTTTTCCTTTATTGTGCGCATCCGGAGTGTATTTATTTGGGCCCTGCCGGATCCTGTCTCCCATCTTAAGATACGTGAGGATTGAACTCTGTTGTGGTTGTGACTGTCCACCAAACTGAGTCTCGGGTTGGGGTTGGGATTTGGACTCCCCCATGGTGAGAAATTTGACTCCCAGTTGTGGTTGTGACTGTCCACCAAACTGAGTCTCGGGTCCACTAAGGTTAAACTGAGTCTCGGGTCCGCCAATGTCAAACTGAGTCTCGGGTCCGCCAATGTCTTCAAATTGAGTCTCGACCTGGATGCGCGAGCCTCGAGAAGAATGTGCTTGATCCTCATTTTGTTGACCCTCAGTTTGTTGTTGCGATGTCCGAGGGGGGATTGGGACCTTCCTCTTTCTTCCTCCTCCAATCTTATCTCTCGATCACAGTTTCGCTTTTTTACCCGGCGGAAGTTTTGAGGTCAAAGATGGATCTTCATCAACCAGGATTTGGGTATCCTCCACCTCCATCTCATCATTTGCACCCAAGGTTAAAGCAGCATGTGTTTGATTGATGATATCGTCCAAATGCTTGTCGAGTTCTTCGTCTATGAGATTCTCATCTTTTCGTTTTTCTATAAACTTCTCGGTACTCACGCGAATGTTGTTCAATACTTCACCCTGAAAAGAAATTGGGACGTTAATTAAGAGAGTAAAATTCAAAAAAAATAAAAATAAAATGAAAACATAAGAAATAATAAAATAAATATAGAATGAACTGACATATAATTTCACTCGGCTCGAAGAAGTCTCGTATCCTTGAGGTTCATAATTACCGGGATTGGATATCAGTCTGACAGTGTTCACCATGAACCATTCATAGTACCCCTCATATACGGAGTAAGGATCTTCTTCCTCCAAATCTCGTAGCACGTACTCTTCTCTCCTATTCCAATGAAGACGTACTACGGAATGGTGGTCCACTCAATTGTTGCTAGGATACCCAGACATACTGTGGGTGTGATCGAGAAGGAATGCTGCATTATTTTTAATCATAGGGCGCTTGGGAACATCCTGTATGTATCCAAATTGTCTCACAACTCTGCCCGACTCATGGGGTTTCCTAATAGCCCAACAGAACATCCACCACCTGGTCGTCCAAATGGCTTGGCCTTGTGTACAGAAATCAGGGAGTCTATGAAGGACATGTGCATATGGTTGCCATTGAAACTGCTCGAAAAGAATTTCATTAGATGGTATAACCGGAACAAAAAGAAATTCAAAGTAAATATAAATACCAAATTACAAGTACTTGCATCTTCAACACGCAGGCTTGTTAATTGCTCTCTAAAAGGGAGGGTGCTGCTCCTTGGGGCGTCTCCGTAGGTGTACCTACATTCACACCTTGATGAACAAAGGGGTACATTTGAATTAGTGAAAAAAATGAATAAGAAACAAATAGAAATAAACATTGAGTTATTTTGAACTGAAAATACGTACCGTTGAGCTAATGGGGCGGTCTCATCAATCAAATAATCTACTCCTTTTCTTTGTGACGCGATCCTCTCGATCCGTTCATATGCCCATACCTAGTAAATTGCAATAATAATGTTAAAACTTCAAATTATAACGTCGAAAGCGGAAAATAATTAAAACACCAATTGAAAACTAATACGTACCTGTAGCAAATATAGACAGCCAGTGGCATCGTGCATGGTGTACTGTGATGCCTCGCACAGTCCAGAGTAGAAACCAGCCAACAGTGTCGATCCCCAACTGTATCGACTACACTGATCCAAATCCTCAACCTGGGCCAAGAACTGTAGATTGACAGTGTTTTGTGTCTTGTTAGGAAACATGAAACTGCTAATAAAATGCAGTATAAGTGTCCGGGCCCTTTGCTCGAATCGATGGACAGTGAAATTCTCAGGGAGTGCGCGGCCCATCTCATCTTCGAAAATACTAACATTGACACATTGGTCATTTACTTGGGCTGGCCGGAATCCCAAATAAGCCTCACATCGATCCCGCCATTCATCTGTAGTCCGGCTAACTGTCATCCCGTACACCGGGTCACCATCCACCCGAATACCAAAGAGGACCTCGACATCCTGTAGTATCACAGTCGCCTCTCCGAAATTGAAATGGAAAGTGTGAGTTTCTGTGTCACGGGCTTACTTTTTCAAAGTAACGGCCGTGCGGCACTAGCACAAAAAAACTAACGATCAAGTGCTAGCTCAGCCTTAAGACCCCCAAAGCGTGCAAAGCTAGGCAAGGCTTTAAAGAACGGAGGCAAAGAAAAACTTAAGAAAGGTTGAAAGTGAAAGAACGATGAAGGCACAAGAGAGCTTAAGGAATGCTTGAGAACTCTACTCAAAGCTTGGATGGATTACAAATGAAGGGGGCATGGGGTATTTTTAGGCAAACCCCAAGTCCTAAAGAATTCTAGAGAATTCTATGTACATAATAAAATAATAGAATTCTAGAGAATTCCTACAATAAAATATTTTAAATTCAAAATATCTACAAGTCTCTAGAATCTTCCACACGGTTCCACCCGTTTCTAGAGAGTTCCGGGCCTTTCTAGAAAATTCCAGAGACTTCAAGATTTGACCGGAGAATTCCACAAGGCTCTAGACCGTTCCGTCCCATGTCCGTCTACGAAAATAGCCCGTTTCGCATCAAACCACCCAAATTCGTGGTGAAGAAAAACTGTCCGTGACATCCTCCCCCACCAAAATGGTGCATCGCCCCGATGCGCCTAAGTCTCGAAGGCAATGTTGATAGGAACGGGGTGCACGATTCTCCTCAAAGTCCTCGATCAATTTGGTGAATTGCCAAAGCTTCTCGATTGGCTCCCAACTCGTCTCACTCATTGGCAAATTCTTCCATTTCACCAAGTATTCTTTAGTTGCTGCCCCGCTCTTGCCCCGAACGATCCTCTTAGAAAGGATCTCCTCTGCGGTCCGTTCCTCATGCTCGCATACGCCAGCTGGTGCCCTTGAGGAAACGTTCCGTTCTTCGTCCTCTGGGTCCTTACGGTATGGCTTAAGTAGGCTCACATGAAAGACTGGATGAAGCCTTGAAAAGGCCTCGGGTAGCTCCAGCTTGTAAGCAATCGAACCCACTTTCTTAAGAATGGTGAAAGGACCCTCGTATCTGCGCATGAGACCCTTGTGTAAACCACGGCTCCGACCATGCTCATAAAGCTTTACCAAGACTTGGTCGCCTTCTTCAAACTCACGACAGGTCCGTTTCTTATCCGCCCATTTCTTCATGCGCACGGCCGACTTCTCCAAGTAGAGTTTTGCCTCGTCGGCTCGTTCTCGCCAATCTTTGGCAAACTTGTATGCGGGTGGGCTATTGCCCTTGTAGCCCCCAAGAATGTCTTTAGGCGTAGTCGGTTGGAAACCAAGGACAATCTCAAACGGACTTTTGCCTGTGCTCTCACTCCGCATCAAGTTATAGGAAAATTGGGCAACGTCTAGCAAACGTACCCAATCTTTCTGGTTGGCTGCCACATAGTGCCTGAGGTACACCTCCAAGAGGCCGTTGATGAGCTCCGTCTGCCCATCTGTTTGTGGATGCAAAGATGTAGACATCTTGAGCTCCGTCCCAAGCAAACGAAAGAGTTCTTGCCAAAAACGGCTGGTAAACCTCGAGTCCCTGTCGCTTATGATCGATGTAGGCAACCCCCAATATTTCACCACATGCCTAAGAAAGAGTTTGGCTGTTATCTCTGCGGTGCACTCTTTTGGGGCGGGTATGAAGACCGCATACTTAGACAAACGGTCTACCACAACAAGTATGTTGGTGCAACCCTCGGAAACGGGCAGGCTCACGATGAAATCCATCGAAACGCTGTCCCACGGGCGTTCCGGAATAGGCAAGGGTGATAACAAGCCATGCGGGTGGTCTTGCTCGGTCTTGTCTTGTTGGCAAACTAGACAAGTCCTTACATATGTCTCCACGTCTTCCCGCATGCGAGGCCAGTAGAACCGTTCATGGACTAAGGCAAGTGTGCGATGCGTACATGGGTGACCCGCATAACGGCTATCATGGCAATCCCTTAGAATCTCCCTTCTAAGTCCATCCCATGCGGGCACGTACAAACGGTTCCCCTTTGTATAAAGTATCCCATCCTCAAGCCAGAACCGTGTTGTCTTGCCTTCCTTCACGAGCTCCATGAACCTTTTGGGCTTGACGGTCGTGCTCAAGACCCTTCTTGATGCGATCAACCAACGTCCCCTCAGGTATGCTAACGATTGGAGCAAGACACGCCTTTCGGCTTAGGGCGTCGGCCACGTGGTTAGTCTTCCCCGGGCTATACTCAAGCTCGTATTTAAACTCGGCCAAGAAGTCCAACCAACGCGCTTGCTTGCTTGAAAGCTTAGGTTGGCTTTGATGGTAGCTCACTGCCCGATTGTCCGTCTTGATCTTGAACGGTGTGGCGGCCTTCAAGTAATGCTCCCAAACTCTAAGGCAGTGAATTATAGCCAACATCTCTTTCTCGTGCGTCGGCCACCATTTCTCGGTCTCATTCAGCTTGCGACTTTCAAAGGCGATCGGATGACCATCTTGCATGAGAACGCCCCCAATGGCAAAGTCCGAAGCATCCGTGCACACCTCGGACGGTTTCTCAAAATCAGGGAGAGCTAGGACTGGCTCTCGAGTGACGGCGTCCTTTAGAGCCTCGAACGCTGTTTGGTGTTTTGGTGTCCAACACCAAGCTTGCCCCTTTTTCAAGAGATCCGTTAGTGGAGCGGCTATGGCGGAGTGCCCTTCAATAAACCGCCGATAGTAATTAACAAGCCCCAAGAACGATCTCAGCTCCGTTGGCTTCGTGGGTGCCTCCCACTCCACGATAGCTTTGATTTTGGCCGGATCCATGTGGATTCTGCCCCCACCAATGATGTGTCCCAAGAACGACACATCCTCAAGGCCGAAGGAACACTTCTCCCTTTTAACATAGAGCTGGTTTTCCCTAAGGACTTGAAAAACGGCTCTAAGATGCTCCACATGCTCCTTCATTGTGTTACTATAGATAACGATGTCGTCCAAGTATACTACAACGAACTTATCAATGAAATCCGCTAGCACACGTTGCATCAGAGTGCAAAACGTGGCTGGGGCGTTAGTTAAACCGAACGGCATAACAAGAAACTCATAAGAGCCATACCTTGTCACCATGGCCGTTTTTGGTTCATCACCAGGTACTATGCGTACTTGGTAGTATCCCTTCCGCAAGTCTAGCTTGGAAAAGATCCGTGCCCGTTGCAGCCGGTCGAACAAGTCCGCTATAAGTGGGATAGGGTACTTGTTCTTTACGGTTAGCTTGTTTAACGCCCGATAGTCGATGCACAAACGTAGTGTCCCATCTTTCTTGCGTTGGAACAAGGCCGGCGAACCCCACAGACTTTTAGACGGCCTTGCATGACCCGATTCAAGTAGCTCCTTGATTTGCACCTTGAGCTCCTCTAGCTCGCTAGGGGACATACGATAAGGCACCTTGGCTATCGGTTTCGCCTCGTCCACCAACTCGATGGCATGATCAACCTCCCTTCTTGGTGGAAGACCTTTGGGCAAATCGTCGGGCATCACATCCTTGAACTCAACAAGGACTCGCTCTATGGGAGGTGGGATTCGTTCCTCCTTTGCCGGCTCCTCTGTGCATGGTTCCTCCTCAAACACCATGGCGGCAAAGGTGTGTTCACCCCGTTTTAGCCCCTTGTTCAGCTGGGAAGGGCTAATCTCATTTTCCCGTCTAAACTTTACCACACAAGGCTTCTCGCCTTGGAGGATCACCATCGTGTAGTTGCTAGGCACGATGATCAGCTTTACCTGGTCTAAAAACTCCATGCCAAACACAAGACCATAATCATCCATAGGTGCAATGGAGAAATTAGTCGTACCTGACCAGTTGCCGATTTTAAGAGGCACATCCCTGGCTTTGCCTACAAGACCCGTCCATTCGCCGTTCACGCCCTTGAAACAGCCTTTGCTAGGTGTCCACTTGACGCCAAGCGAACTGGCTACCTCTTCCGTGAGATAACTCGTGTCGGCCCCCGTGTCTAGCATGCCCCATCTAGACCCGTTAGCGAACGATGCCTCCATGTAAAGACGGCCTTGACGTGTCTCGGCCTTGGCATGCACGGCGTCTAGCCGTTTCATGCAAGCGACCCGTTTCTCCTCTTCTTGGCACAAACCTTGTGCCAATGCTGCCAACTTTGAATGAGACGGGCAATCACGTGCCATGTGCGCTCCCCCGCGCAAGAAGCACCCTTGAAACTTCTTTGGCTTGTCCCCCTTGGTCTCCTTGCTCGAAGACGGCTTTGTAGAGTCGGCTGCCGGTTTTGCGGGTGTGGAAGACTTCCCTTTGTCTCCCCCACCTTTGCCTTGGAACGGCTTCTTGCCCTTGTCCTTGGAGCTATCCTTCTTTTGGAACTCAACAAGCGACTCGGCCACCTTTAATGCCCGATCGATGTCCTGGACTTCTCTCCGTTGTAGCTCAAGTTTGGCCCAACGGTTGAGACCGTCCATGAAAGTAAAGAACGCCTCCTTGGGCGAGAGATCCGGAATTTCAAGCATCAAGTCCGAAAATTCCTTAACGTATTCCCGGATTTGGCCTTCCCTATGGTGCAGACGACGAAGCTCGGCCCGGGCTTCGTCTTCCGCATCCACGGGTAGGAAATACTTTCTAAACTCTTCCTTAAAACCATCCCACGTGGTGAAGATCGGGTCTCCATCCCCCACGGGTTTCATCATACGTTTCCACCATGATAAGACACTATCTTTAAGATAAAGAGAGGCTTGGAAGAGTCTTACCGAGTCGTCCATGATATTAATAGCCCCAAAGTACCGTTCCATGCTGTAGAGAAAGTTCTCCACGTCCCTCAAGCGGCGGCTGCCCTTGTATTCGTCCGGCTTGGGCGCTTCAAGCCTTGGAACCGTCCCCATGGCTCCGGTTGTCCCTTGCACGGCCACGGTGTCAAGCCGTGCCTTAAGACGCGCCGATTCTGCCCGAGAAGTCTCCAGCTCCCCCATAAGCCGGTTGACGTCGTCTTGGAGGGCGGCAACACGAGCAAGGCTTTCCTCCTTCGACTTGTTGCAACATTCCACCATTTCGTTGAGCGTCCCTAGCATGTCGTCCTTCATTTGCTGCATGACCTCTTGCAATTCCCCTGCGAATCGCTCCATGCGAGCTTCGACGACCCCGCTACCACCTCGGGTGCTCGTCCCAACGGTCTTGGTGGTCGGCCACGCGAGCTCTAGCTTGGCAAGCCGTTTCTCGAATTCCACCATCGGCTCCCTAACGACCGACTTCTCCTTGCGGCTTCCTTTGCGGGTGGTCCTCCCCACCTCGCGGGAAACGTGATCCCCCTCAAGCTCCGACCCTTGAACAACCTCCGAAGGATTGGACATAGCTTATGTACGAAAGAAAACCAACAAACGGAAACGTAGATGATGTAGCACACCAAGTATCGAGCCGAGGCTCTAATACCAACTGTCACGGGCTTACTTTTTCAAAGTAACGGCCGTGCGGCACTAGCACAAAAAAACTAACGATAAAGTGCTAGCTCAGCCTTAAGACCCCCAAAGCGTGCAAAGCTAGGCAAGGCTTTAAAGAACGGAGACAAAGAAAAACTTAAGAAAGGTTGAAAGTGAAAGAACGATGAAGGCACAAGAGAGCTTAAGGAATGCTTGAGAACTCTACTCAAAGCTTGGATGGATTACAAATGAAGGGGGCATGGGGTATTTATAGGCAAACCCCAAGTCCTAAAGAATTCTAGAGAATTCTATGTACAAATAAAATAATAGAATTCTAGAGAATTCCTACAATAAAATATTTTAAGTTCAAAATATCTACAAGTCTCTAGAATCTTCCACACGGTTCCACCCGTTTCTAGAGAGTTCCGAGCCTCTCTAGAAAATTCCAGAGACTTCAAGATTTGACCGGAGAATTCCACAAGGCTCTAGACCGTTCCGTCCCATGTCCGTCTACGAAAATAGCCCGTTTCGCATCAAACCACCCAAATTCATGGTGAAGAAAAACTGTCCGTGACATCTGGCCTCCACCGTTCCACCAACGCGATAATGAGACTGAGATCCACTCTTTTGTAGCCTACTTTCATGATCCCCTCAAAACCGGCTCTCTTAATGGCTACCTCAACCTCCAGTGTCGTATTTTTGTATATCCCCAAAAATCGCTGTTGTATCTATGGCCCTTGAGGCGGAATGTTTTAATATCCGGTATCTTGTTCTCATAGACAGCTTGGGACCTATGCTTTGTTTGACGATATAATATTTTATCGTGTATCGGTCCCGGGTGAAGATGTTTAGGTTGATATTCATATTGCGAGCCCGATGCCGGCGTCGCCATTTCAATCCTACACAAGGTAACTAATACGGCTTTCAATCCAAATATGCAAAATAATGATGCACTAACCAAATACCATATACATTCGGCCAAAAACACAAAACAACCAAACCATATACATTCGGCCAAAAAAACAAAACTACCAAACCATATACATTCGACCAAAAAAACAAAACAACCAAACCATATACATTCGGCCAAAAAATAATACTAATACAACAACAATGCACAACAACAAACAATAATACTAATACACAATCCAAACACTATATCAACACCACTAACATTCACAATTCACAATTCACACAACTATACAAATCCAACACAAACACTATATCAACACAACTATACAACACAATTCACAAACCAACACAATTCACTAATCAATACAACACAATTCAAAATAAACTAAACCATAACAATACACATTAGGAAAAAAAACACATTCGGATTTCACAAAGAAAAAAATATTTGACAAAAAAAATTAAAGAGAGAAAAACTTACGGGAGAGGAGGGAGTCGCCGGGAGTGGAGGGAGTCGGAGGGAGGGGAGTCGCCGGGAGGGGAGTCGCCGGCAGTGCAATCGCCGAGAGAGGAGGGAGCGGTTCCGGAATTCAGGGAGGAGGAAATCGGCAGGGAGAGAGGGTCGCCGGTGGGAGAGTTGGAACCGGAAGGAGAGAGGGTCGCCGGTGGGAGGAGGGAGTCGCCGGTGGTTTAGAGTTAGGGTTTTTTAATTGTTAGAATTGTGGGAAAAATGGGAGGGGGAAGAGTTGACCGGCAATATATAGTCCCGTCAAACTCGGATTTATGAAATCCGAGTCTCCCTGTTTCTCCTCAAATTGCAACTCTCGGATGGATTTCACCAAATCGGATTTCCGAAATCCGAGTCCTTTGCAAATTCAAAAAAAAGTCTGTGCTCGGATTTCGGAAATCCTAGTCTCCCCTATTTCTCCTCAAATTGCAACTCTCGGATGGATTTCACTAATTTAGATTTCCGAAATCTGAGTCCTTTGCAAATTCAAAAAAACAATCTGAGCTCGGATTTATGAAATCCGAGTCTCCCTGTTTCACCTCAAATTGCAACTCTCAGATGGATTTCACCAAATCGGATTTCCAAAATCCGAGTCCTTTGCAAATTCAAAAAAAAGTCTGAGCTAGGATTTCGGAAATCCGAGTCTCTCCTGTTTCTCCTCAAATTGCAACACTCGGATGGATTTCACCAATTCGGATTTCTGAAATCCGAGTCCTTTGTAAATTCAAAAAAACAATCTGAGCTCGGATTTCGGAAATCCGAATCCTTTAGAAAACCTTAAAATGATGAGTATTTTGCACAATCCCAAAACCTGTTATGAAAAACTAGTATATATTTCATCACACTTTACAATCCGAACAATTCAATGTTCACATGCCAATCCGAATTATCAAAACATAAATTTGTTTGCGTCAATTTAAATAGTTGTCAAACACTAAATAACTTGCAAGAACACTAAATGACTTTCAATTCCAGGTGTCATTCACAGGTCTTCTATCTACTCCTGGGTGCGAGAACGGACAAGAATTGGCATCATGACCTTGTTGTCCACATCTCCAACATTCCCCCCGGCTCCGGCGTCCCCTATAATCCATTTGCATTCTATGTCTCCTTTCTTGTCTTCGTCCCGGTCCCGCATGTAACACAAGACGCTCATAATCCGAAATGATGTTCCAATTGAACATCGGCCATTGTTCCTCATCGGGAACCGGAACAAAGCCCGTGTAATCAAATGGTCTGCGCCACGTTAGAGGGCGCCACACACTATGGTATAGATCAATAGGCCGATCCCCTTTTCTCCGACAAACTTAGAGTGCGTGCATACAAGGCATCCGATACTCTATCCATTTCCTGCACGAACACCTATGTTCATCATAGTTCACCGTATGCAAAGTCCCACCCCTGCCACTTAGCCGTGTTGCAGTAACAACACGCCACATAGCATCATCACCATCAGAAGGGGTGGCTTCAAAACTGGCTGCTTTGTCGTTCATTTTCTTATATTTTTTCCATAACTCAGGAGGGATCGGTGTCATGCAATTTCTCGTAGACAATTGTTCTTCTCTGTAGAATTTAACAGTTTTGCGAAAGGTTGCATCGATCAAGGCTCTAATTGGTAAAAAACGGATCCCTTTCAACGCATTGTTGTAACTCTCAGAAATGTTGGTTGTCGCTATGCCCCAACAGCGAAGACCGGCTTTCAATCGAGCCCAGTTACTCCCTCCAATCCCTCGAAGATACTCCCATGCAGCAGGTTTGAATTCAATAAGCTCTGCCCTCATACGGCTGTATTCCACTCTTGAAAGCGTCGTGCCCATCTTCCAACATAACCGCTTCACCTTTTTGCTATTATATCGCGACACAAGATTGTTGCGAACGTGGCGGAGGCAAAGAAAGTGGCCATCACCTAAATCACGCCATTCATCCATCTGTGACATTGCGCTCAACAACCCTGCATTCCGGTCGGATATCACACTTACGATTCTATTATACACAACCCACAACCTCAAATTCTTCATAAAAAATGTCCAACTCTCTACTGTCTCCTCATCCACAATCGCAAATGCAACCGGTAAAATGTGCTTGTTTGCTGTATAGACCACCGCAACAAGCAATTTACCCTTGTATCCACCACGCAAAAAGGTTCCATCGATACAAATGACCGGTGGACATTCAAAAAACGTCGCAGCCACTGGTGCAAATGACCAGAAGACGTATTTAAATGTCCTGTTTCCCATGTTCCAACCTTCTTGTCCCTCCTTCCATTCCCACTCTACTACATTCTCAGGATTAATAAACTTAAGCGCAGCGATATACCTACACAACAACAAGTCATAGTTAAAATATTTCAATATATGTAAAAAAAAAACCCTAAAAATATTTCAATACACGAATAAATCTTGATATTTACCGTGAAAGTTCTTCGAAATTCGAGGTCCAATCACTATAGACCGCTTCTATGGCTTTCTTACTCCCGTGCTACGCCTTTTTGTATGGCACATCCACTTTCAATAAGGTCTTCACATCTTTCTGTGCCGAGGCTACCATATAATCTACGTTGTCCTCAACCTTTCTCCTGATGAGTCTAGCAATCAAATACGCGTCCACACACCAATTGTCATTATCAGTCACGGGAATCATGCAATTCTGTGCATCATGCCATCTCACAATTTCATGAAGACCGTGAGCTTTCAAAAACACACGCATCTTCCACTCACATGGTGGTTCACCATCCTCACTTTCCACATTTAATGTTCTGCACCGCACAGTCCACGTCATTGGACTACTCGCGGCGACCGTATATTCCCTTTTATGATGGATGTTCCATAATTTCACAGCATGCTTTGCTTCTGATTAAGATTTGAAACAAACACCAATGTCCATTCCTTCGGGCGTCTCATCCCACATCTTAAGAGCAAACTCATCCTTGTCCACACATGAGGCATCCCATTTCTCCATCTTACTATATACATGGCGTCGGGGCAATGGATTACAATCCCTTTCCTCATTTTCTAACCTTTCATCATCACTTTCTTCAAAATCACTCTCTCCGGAGACATCACAGTCTTCTTCGCTTTCACTTGGAGCTATGTAGTCGGAATCCGACTCTTCCTGGTAGTCATCTTGTGCAAATAAAGGTGTCTCCTCTTCATCACGGTTTCGAGAAGTACTAGCACGTTCCCATTTCGCGCCTCAATTTATTATTTTTTAACTGAATTCGGATTTCAGAAATCCAAACACTACTGTTCATTTAAGAATTTTTAAGAACTATTATTCCACAAAATTCATTTAATTTATTATTTTATTATTAAATATAGGCTCGAATATACGAAATTCGAATCTTTAATTTGAATTAAAACTCGGATTTCGGAAATCCGAGAGATGTATTTCTGTCCACTAATATTATGAGAAAATTAAATTTGTTTACGTTTATTTTAATTATTTTTTTTGGGGAAAAAGCCCATCAAATAGGAGCTTGGATGGTTTTTTCAGGTGAGTAAAAAGATGTTGAAGC